TCCAAAGATCGAGTTAGCAAATAAAGCGCGGGTTACACTTGGACCCCTCCAAAAAGTGGAGGTGCCTAATTAATTCTGGCGTTCTTCACAAGAGGTGGTCACTTTGACCACCGAGCACGCACTACCATTAATAGTAGTGGTGGTGTCTGTGTTTGTGTTTGAGGTGTTGGTCTCCAAGTCCGTGTTGTTCAGATCATAGGAGGCCAAAGGTTGAACAATAATGCCATCAGGATTTTTAGCAGCATGAAGGTCGTGCGTTTGCCTCGTACGCGCTATGTTTGGCTACAAGGACACAGAAGAATAGGTAGGGGTGAGTTGGTACGCACTAGAAATGGACCCACTGCATAAAGACGAGGACTCATCCTCGTCCACTCTAGATTCTTCAGTCCCAGGCGAACAGACGGTTTCATGAGGAGAAACGGAGGAGGCCGAGTGTTGATCCAAGATGTTTGAAAAAATTAAGCAAAAAATGAAAAGAAAATTAAAGAATAAAGGAAGAATACTTGGTTAAATTTGTCCGAGTAGAAGGTTGAAAAACTTGAAAAGTGCTTGGGAGGTCTTGGATGAAGAAAGGCCGGAAAACTCGAAATCTTGAACGGAAAAATCGAACGTGCGGCGGAGCTCTCAAAGATTCCGGGAAGAAGTAACTTTCTCTCTCTAGAAGCTTTGACTTCTATCTAGAAAGCAAGGAAATCCAAAGTAAAAACTAAAGGTTAAACCCTTGCTATTTATAGGAAAAATTTGGAGGGGTAAAATGGTAATAATTATTCCCACCTAAAGAATGCCAAAGGGTTAAAATTCAAAGAATTTAACCTAGAATTCAAATGGTTAAACCCTTTCGTTTTACGAAATCCGTGTAAATGTCATACCATTTATGACAGAATTCGAACGGGCATCATAAACACCCGTAACTCTCTGCATATACCTCGGAAGTTGAATCACTTCCTTGGAAATGGAACGCGGTTGGATGTTAGTGAAAAGTCTCTTCGGCCTCTACTGACCGACCGACCACTCGGCAATGTTTCTTAAAAACACCAAGACAAGTCAATCAAGGCATTTAGCCCAATTCCGGGCCATTCTGCCCACTCTATCAGAATGACTCGGCCAAGCTCCTATAGAATGTCAGGCCATTCTAACAAGGCGTTCAGCCTAATAAGTAGGACGGACAATCCTGTCCAGCTCCTATTAACAATTTGAAATGCTTCAAATGCGCCCAAGGTACTCGAACGAGTGAAGATTAGAGGAGGCGGCCCAGTTGGGACGAGCCACCCCTTCCGAGGGGCAAATGTTTAGGGTTAAAAATACCCCAAGTACATGGTCCAATCTCATGATGACACGTGGCCCAATAAATGGGCAACATGTGTCACCATAGGAATATGACACATACTAAGAGTAAGAGAGCACCTGAAATCAAATATGTCATAAAGGCCTCCTTACATCAGGAAGCCTAAAAGCCCTAGGCAAGGCCTCTATTTATACATCATATGTATAATTAGAGTCCAAACCTAGCCTACAATACTCTTCCTTTAATCCCACATGGCCTATCACTCCATGAGGCCCAATAATGGGCTTCTTTCTTTTGCTCAATCCATCACCCTTTTGTGTGACATTATAGGATCCATTCTATTGGGCTTTGGACTATTTGACTAGCTCAAAGATCATTAATCATGTCTAGCAATAGATAATGACGACTTAAAAGAACGAACTTAATTATCTCCATAATTTGATCCAATAAATATCTAGTAATTGCACACGACGAAGACATAAATCTTTCATAAATACCCCAATTATTGATGATGGGGACGAGTGGATTGTGACATAACATTTAATAAAGCACAAAAAGCTCCAACTTCTCTCTATTTTCTCTCTCTACATTTATTCCGTTTCCGCTCACTAACTTGATTGTCGGAGGCGAATCTTTGATCACCGGAGATTCGTACTTTTGCAGGTGTCCGAGTCCCATTGCTAGTCAGAGCGTGACCAGTATCCCGAGGGATTCCAAAAAAACACCCGAAACAGTTATAATGAAATACAATAAAATATTCATGATCAAAAAGGCAAATGTTTAGTGTCAAATAAAAATATGTTCAGTTACATATCACTTATCAGAAAAAAAAAAATTAAGCTCGAAAAAATATATATTGTTTCAATCCAAATGCTTACTTATTGTTATTTGCTAACCTATTCGCTACATTAGTGTCAAACAAAGCTAACGACCTATCATACTTAGAAGAAATATGTTGACTAGCTACCACGTTGAATACTTTGAACATCTCTTGGAACACTTGGAGGAAGTTGAAAATTTCTTGGAACACTTGGACGAAATTGAACCTTTTTTCTTGGCACACTTAAAGAAACTTGGACATTACTTGGAGCATTTGAAGGAACATAGCCTTTTCTTTGAGCACGCACTTGGACAATACTAAACTCTTTCTTAAAAGCATATTCATTGTACCTTTCATAAACTTCTTGTTCAAAATTAAAATCTTTAAAAAGTAAATTTGATTTAGTTGCTTCTTCATATAGAATTTCATCACTAGCACCCACTGCATAAATTTTTAAAAATGAACATAATCTATAACAGATATGTACAAATACAAAACAGTACATATATAAATGATCATTTAGCATTTTTCAATTTGATCAAAATAATAAAATAAAATAAAGTACTAAATATTTAAAATATAATTTATACAACTATAATAGAACAGTAGTTTGAATCATAATGATCATTTAGAATTAAGGAATTGATCAAAATTATAAAACTACTAAAAAAAACACAAAAATGTATATAAAAATATATTCAATCACAGAAAACATCTACTTAATCACAATCAGCAGTCATTAAACTAAACAAAGCTAACAAACTTGAATTATAAATCATACTGATCGAAATAAGAGACAAAATTAATTAAATTAAAACTTCAATTCACTTGAATTATAACAACAAACCAAATTGAACTAAAACAGAGGAGAAATCAATTAAAAAAAACTTGAAAAATCGAATAAAATCAGCAAACAATATAAAACAAAACAACTAACAAAATTAAATCAAACAATCGACCAGCAAGCATTAATCGAAATCAGGGACAAAATTGATCAAAATTGAACAACTCCAATCATTGACAAAATAACTTCACAATCGCGATTAAATTCGGCAATCGAAGAATGCAACACTTTATTATCACAATCAACAATTCTAATCAATGATTCATCCATGAATAAGAGGAAACAAACGTGATTGAAAGAGAAATATTGTTCAAGAAGAGAGAGAAAATGCAAAAAAAAAAGAAAAGAAAAGAACGAAAAAACAGAAAAATAGGTTTTGAATCATATATATAAATGACTTGAGAGATAAGAAAAGAAAATAATAAGGAAAAGGAAACACACAAAAAAAAAATCAAAAACAGAGTAAAACGACGTAGTTTAATTGGGGGAGTAGGCAGCATTGGCTAAAGGGGGTTGTAGAGTAAAGCATAAATACGGTCCCTGAACTTTTGTATTTGTGCACTTTTAGTCCCTAAACTTTCATTTGTGCACTTTTAGTCCCTCAACCACCGTTATTGGTGTTTTTGACCAAAAAGTTGAGGGACCTAGTCTAGTAAGCAAAAGTTTAGGGACTTCCAGTCAGCAAAAAATTCAGGGATAATGAGTTAGCAAATAGTAATTTAGAAAGCTCAATTAATTTTTTGGTTTATTGAAAAAGTCTAGCTCAATAACTAAATTAGTTCACCGATCACATAATCATAATTGAGCTATAAATAGTAAATTATTACAGTTTCAATCCTCAAAAACACTAATTAAATCTCAATTTTAGAAATCATATAATCACTATTACATCAAGTATCAAATAATCTGAATTATTGATTTTAAAAAAATAAAAAATAAAGAGAGACTAATCTGAATCATTAGTAAACAACTCACGACGTTCAATAATCAAAACAAACCAAACCACTGATTCAATCAATAATTATAATGAGAACAGAAATGTAAATTATAATTATAATTATTCCCTCAAACAAATCAAATCAAGATTAATTTTGACTAAGAAAACTCAGCCCCCTATCAGTATTATCATGTTGAATCCTTTACAAGTTCATTTCTGTTGTAAGATCCAACCACCATACCATGTAGAGGTCGCCTCCATTATTGTTAAGCTATGAAATTCTCAGCAAATTCAACCCAAAATGTGGCAGATTTTATGTGGGTCAGGGGTATTTTAGGGAGATTTGAAATGGGTATTTGCTCAATTTGTAAGAAATCCAAGCAAATGAAAAGGGTATTTTTTTTCTTCCGATTTCCCTTTTTGGTTAAAGAATTTTTCTGTTCTTGCCATCAATTCTCAATGCATGCGCATCATTTTTCTCCTCTCCCTTTTCGATTGGATTGCACCAAGTAATTTAAAGGTTTTGCGGGTGGGTCGATGGTGGTTTCAATGGGTAATAGGTGGGGCCGAAGTTTGTAAGTGTGGCTTCGATTGGGCCAGGGGATCGTGGATGGATTTCAGGGGTGTTCGTCGGTGGGGGAGTGGGGTTCGGGGGTTGGGTTGTGGTGGGTTGTGAGGTTGCAATGGTAGATGGGTTTTGTTTTTTTTTTTTTTTTTTTTGTTATTTATAAAATTATACGAGTAGTTAAAATTATTACGTATTATTATTATTTTTTGTTTTTTTTAATAAAAAAAATCAGTATTGTGTTTTTTTTTTTTTTTACATGAATCAGTATTGCTTGAAATTTAAATGACAAATAATAAATTAAGGTCCCTAAAGTATTGTTGACTAGGCAAAGTCCCTAAACTATTTTGCCAGAAACACCACTCAAGGTGGTTGAGGGACCAAAAGTGCACATACAAAAGTTAAGGGAATACAAATACAATAGTTTAGGGACCGTATTTGTGCTTTACTCGGGAGTTGTAGTTAAAAATTTTCAGTTGATCACGGTAGAAACATCCATGAAGCGAGCTTAACAGGTTGTCCCGACCCAACGGCCCAAGACAAACTAGTCAAACAATATTCATTTTTACACTTAACACCTCAGTACACAAAATATCACGACATCATGTAGATTTTTTTTTTGAGGCCAAGACATCATCTAGATTAGAGAGCTACAAGGAGGGAGAGAGAAACAATGAGCCAGTGAGGAATAAACTACCAACCTTACCAACTCCAATCTTTGTTCTTCACTTCATTCATCTTCTTGTTTTGGAGAGAGAAACAATGAGCCAGTGAGGAATAAACTACCAACCTTACCAACTCCAATCTTTGTTCTTCACTTCATTCATCTTCTTGTTTTTCTCTCTCTTCTAAAGATTCTGATGCTAAATTGTTAACCTTAATATACAAATGAAGCAGAGGATTGAACCCCTTCGTCAGAGTTCGACCCTTGTCAAACATGTTTTACTTGGATTAATCACATTTCTTGGCTTATTTTGTCTTTATTTTGGTTCTTTTCTCATCCCCATTTCTCCCCCGCTTCACCGTGATGTGCTCTTCGATCAAGATGGTGTCGATCCCTTCTTCGGTAGCACTCTTGTTAACGAGGATGACTCCATTGATAAACTCCCTGTTCAAGACTTTGATTCTTTGCTCCCAAAGAGTATACCAGTAAGTTTTTGTATAATTTTGATTATTTAATTGTTTTTCAATAATTTGCGGTTTTTTGAGATTGGAATTATGATTATTTGAGGTTAAAATTATGATTGTTTCATTAATTAAGATTTTTGTTATTAAATTCTGGAACTATTGAATTCTGTATATTGTATTTTTTTTTTAAAATTTTGAATTAGGATTGTTTTTCAGTAAATAGGCTTTGTTTATTTATTTTAAAATCATGATAATTTCAGTAATTGGGCTTATTTGATGATAGAATTGTGAATTTTTATTTGCGGCTGAAGCATGACTATGTTGCTTGATATGGATCACCTGATGTTAGGTTTAAAAGATGATTAGGAAAATTATTTACATCATTGAAATTATATGCGAGAATTCAATTGTTTTCAAACCACATGCTACTAATGCACCAATTCTCTTGCTTTCGATTTGCTTTGCCTCTTCAGCACACTTCTATGGAGTTGCACATCTTGGTAGCTCCCTCTCTTCAAACCCTTCCTAAAGAGCCAATGGTCATTTTCTCTCTTTGCTCTTTTATGTATAGTTTAGGCTTAATAGGACGAAGTTCTCTCTTATTAGCTTAATTTGACTTGAACGAGTTGGGTCCTATCACATCGACATATGTGTCTTTGTTCTTTAATGTAAAGTTTAGGCTTAATAGGACAAGGTCGTTCTCTCTTATTAGCTTGACTTGACTTGATCGGGTTGGGTCCTTTACTCCTTTCCCATCGACATTGGTGTCTTTGCTCTTTAAATTTAGGCTTAATAAGACAAGGTCATTCTCTCTTATTAGCTTGACTTGACTTGAACGAGTTAGGTCTTTTCACATTGACATGTGCTGTGACTCTGAGTTCTCTATAACTTATTTGGGTGTATGTGTGACACATTGTTACCTTGGTGTGTTTGTTGCTCACTTCTTAACTGAGGTCTTATATAATTTTTCACATTCTGGTTTTTGATGGCCTAAATGTGCGTGGTGCAACACTTTTGTGTACAAGACATGCACTATACATGTTGGATATTTAGTTGGACATATTCAGGCAACATTTAACGTAGATGTGTGTTGGATTAACATAAGAGCCCTAATTGGATGATTGAAACAAAACAAATAAGTTATTCAATCAATGAATTGAAAGTGATTTAATCATATACAATACAATCAAAATTTTAATAAATTTCTGGTCTTGCAGAACAGCTAAAGAAGCTTTTACAATGTAACATATACTAGCATAATATAAAACAAGCTACAAGATACACTGTAATTAATCATAGTTATTCTATTTTTTTCCCCCTCTAGAATACACTTTTTTACATTATTATAAGTTGCAACCTACATAATAAGTTTTCCAACACCCAACTCATATGCTACAAACAAGCTCTGAATTAAGTATTAAAGTGCAACCCTGTGTTGAATATAGTACAACTACTTTCACCTAGAAATGATTAATGTACAATGTAATTAATCATAGTTATTCTTTATTTTTTCCCTTTATGATTGACCCTTTTTTTTTCTTTTCTTTTTTGTTTTGTTTTGGAAAATTTGACATTTTCTACCACTAAAAACTTAGCAAATGTGAAACATGGTATTTTTAGTAGTAGCAAATGTCAAAATTTCCTTTTGTTTTTGCTTATTCAAGTTTAACTTGGAAAAAAAATAATGATAATTTCAAGGGTGCTATAAATCATTCAACCATAATTGTTTTACAATAAAATTTAGGATTCATTCAAATTGAAACAACATACCAAGTACCAACCAAGCAACAAATAACAACTACTATTCAGTATATACAAAAATTTTAATTTAAAATTTTAAAAAGTATATTTAAAACATGTTATAAATCTAAAGGATCATAATTATCTCATATGTAAAATGAGAAATATTATTCTCTTGATAATATATGCAAACTATAAAAAAAAGAGTGATTATTTGACAAAATATTCGTTCATATGTCAAATTTGATAACTTTGTTTTAAAACAATGCATAAGCTACTTGTTTCTTTATGTTTTCAAAAATGTTGTCAACTTGAATTATAATAAATCAATATCAGTAGTTTTAATATTTGTTTATATCAGTAATGCACACATCACGTGCATATAGGGCTACTATATGAGGTAGATAAAGTGGAATCTACCACAAACATCATCTTAACTTTGAGTAGATGTATCTCCTGTCTTAGATATATTGTGATGGGTGTCTATTTTACATTTGAATAAGGTAAAAATGGACCCCTTGTTTGATTTTGGACAACTCACTAATGCTCAGTTGACTCTTCCTCCACAAATTCTGTTTGGTTTATCTGTTGAGGGGTAGAGGGATTTGTTTGTTTGATCTGACAATTGTAAAAGTATTGAAATAAGATATCTAGTTTATCAGCTCGCTTTCCATCCAATCCACTGATTGTCATATAAAGAAAAATGGGGTGCTGTTTTTTTAACAAAAAAATATTGTAAAGAAGCCTATCTTATCACTTTGTATCACTTCTACATTGTATAATACCCAGAGACATTTTTTCCCCCCTTTTCTATCCAAAATTTTCTGCCAAAAATATAAAAAAATAGTTTAAAGAGTCTTGTGCTTCAATCCTTCTGATATATGCGTTATGGATTTGTGGACTTTTGTGGTGATTATTTCATCTAATGATTACTGTACAATATTCTTCCAAGGAAAAAAAATATGAAATTTATAGTAGAGTATAAACCACTTTTTGGGACTACCAGGGAGGGGGGTTGTTCAGGGGTTTTAGGATACATGCATCGTTTCAATACAAAGCTGAGAATACTAGTCTATTTTCCCTTTAATCCATTACGAAGGTAATTTTTTTTTTTTTTTTTTAATGACAGATATGTGATATGAGATATTCAGAGTTGATACCGTGTTTGGACAGAAATCTAATATACCAATTGAGGTTAAAGGTAAATCTTACATTAATGGAGCACTATGAACGACACTGTCCACCTCATGAGCGTCGGTACAACTGTCTTATTCCGCCTCCAAATGGTTACAAGGTTGGTCATTATTTTATTTTCTCTAGAGAGGGACTTAGGCTATACTTTTATGGAAAAATGGAAATAAATAATCCCACCTTTGCCTGATGATTATTACGAGGCAATCCCACCTTGGTATGTCATCTTCTTTTAATAGGCTTTTTTACCGACAACCTATTAAACAGGTTAACATGTTTTTTTTAATTTTTTTCAAAGCCACATGTGGCTTGATGATTGGACAAAATAATAAAAGTTAACAAAAAAAAATAGGGTAAAAAAAATAAAAATAAAAAACAAAAAAAAACCCACCAGCTACCCCCCAGCCACCGAGAAACACCTACCCCATACCCTAGGCCCACCTAAAAACGGCCGGAAAACACTACCCAGCCGCTGAAAACCCTTATGACTACCGAATACCCCGCCAGCCCAGCCCCGCAAACCCCTACAACCGCCGAAAAAACCAACGAAAACACCCCATCCCAGCCCCGATTAACATAAAAAAAAAAGTCATCAACTACCAGCCACCCCCAATCGTGAATCCCTAACCTTTACCGTAGCCCCACCAAAAACCGGACGACCGCAACCCTAAACCCCAAATAAACGGCCGGCTGGAACCGTCAAATACGAAAATCCGCTTTTCCGATCAAAAGCCACCCTCGAAACTACCCTGGACCCAAATCCCACTCCTGAAATCAACTTAACCACAACAGCCACCACCCTGAAAACCCAACCTAGCCGCCGAAAAACCCTTCTTAGCCCCCGAAAAACCCTTCTTAGCCCCCGAAAACCCCACCCAACCTCCTTAATCATCCCGAATGTCCCCATCTAAGCCCCGAAAAGGCCGCTTAAAACACCCTAAAAACTCGACCCACTGCGCAAAATCCACCGTTTACGTGGTGGGTAGGTGTCGACCGGCCGTTTCAGAGATTAATGAGGGCGGTCATTCGGTGTTTGGTGGTGGCTAGGGTAGGGGCTGGAGTGTCACAGTGGCTAGGGTTTTTAGTTGGTGGCAGGGGTGTTTTTTCTTTTTTTTTTTTTAAAAATTTTGTTTTCTGTTTTTTTTTTTTTTTTTTTTTTTTTTTTTTTTTTTTGGCTTTTTTTAATTATTCAAATAATAAAATATAAAAATTGACACATGGCATATAACCTACAAAAATAAGTCACCAACAGGTTAAGGTCTATTAAAAGAAAATCACATACCAAGGTGGGATTGCCTTGTAATAATCAAAAGGTGGGATAATTATTGTCAGATCAGGCAAAGGTGGGATTATTTATTTCCATTTTTCCTACTTTTATTTATTTATTTATTTATTATTATTACTGCTACTACTACTACTACTACTACTACTATTATTATTTATTTATTTATTATTATTATTATTATTTATTTATATTTATTATTATTATTATTATTATTATTATTATTATTATTATTATCGTCTTCTATTTTTATTCCAATGACTTTGTTGTTAGAAAATCAGATACCTGTCAGATGGCCTGCTAGCAGAGATGAAGTGTGGAAAGCAAATATACCTCACACACACCTTGCACAAGAGAAATCTGACCAACACTGGATGGTTGTGAATGGAGAAAAGATAAATTTTCCTGGTGGTGGAACCCATTTTCATGATGGTGCAGATAAGTATATTATTGCACTTGCAAGGGTATGCGGAAGTTTTTTCATGTTATGATTCTACTCTATCTTAAAATTTATGCTGATGATTACTATTGTATTCGTGCAGATGCTCAAGTTTCCTGGTGAAATACTTAGCAATGGTGGAAATATAAGAACTGTTCTTGATGTGGGATGTGGAGTAGCAAGTTTTGGTGCATATCTTCTTTCCCATGATATTATAGCTATGTCATTGGCACCTAATGACGTACATGAAAATCAAATTCAGTTTGCATTAGAGAGAGGAATTCCATCTACCCTTGGTGTGTTGGGAACTAAAAGACTTCCATACCCCAGCAGGTCATTTGAACTAGCCCATTGTTCTAGATGTAGGATTGATTGGCTTCAGAGAGATGGGATTCTTTTGTTGGAGCTCGATAGATTACTTAGGCCAGGTGGATATTTTGTGTACTCTTCTCCTGAAGCATATGCTCAAGATCCAGAAAACCGAAAAATCTGGAATTCAATGTATAGTCTTTTAAGGAGGATGTGCTGGAGAGTTGTTTCAAAGAAAGACCAAACTGTTATATGGGCAAAACCACTGAGCAACAGCTGTTATTTGAAGAGAGAATCTGGAAGCAGACCTCCATTATGTAGTTCAGATGATAATCCAGATGAATCTTGGAATATTTCAATGAAAACTTGTATCACTCCTTTTTCACCAAGTAAGTGTAAAAATTCTTTTGATCTTCTGTTTGTCCCCCTTTAATTTTGCCAACTTCTGATATTATAATCTTGCAACTAAATAATTTATAATATTTGAAGAATAGCAATTTATTAATTTTGCTATTTATTGTCCAAATTGTTGATTAAAAACTGCATATTCTTTTTCATAGAACTTTAACAATTGTGTCACCTGAGTTTTCTTCATGTGAATTAGGTCTGAGTGATAAATATGTATTCATTTGATTGTTTTTGCATGATCCATGAGTTTCCACTTAAGAATCATACAACTGGTCTTAATGATTTTCATCATTACTTACACTCTCATTATTTGAAGTTCTACCAACTTTCTGATTCAGTCTTTTCCATGCAATTCTACTCACTTTGCATACTTCCTATTTTGTTAAGCTCAATATATTATTAAATGGTACTTTGTCCCACTTACATCTCTTGCATACTCTCTCTATTCCACAAAAAATATGTAACCCACACTTACTCTAATATTTTCCAAAATAATAAACAAAGCAAGTGGTCCTCAACAGTTAAACTTTCTTCACTGTTGCATAAAACTGAGTAGAACCTCAATGAACAGAAGATTATTAAAATATTTAGATCCACTATTCCTCTGTGATATCTTGAAACAGAGAAATAAGAGTCTTAATAGATGGGGCTATGTAGTGCCTTTTATAGTTACACTTCTCATGATAAACAGATCTAGGATATTGCCTTATAACAGTTAAAATAGTAGATTAGTCTGTGTATGGTTTAGGATTATATTTCTCTTTTAAATTAGCTAATAGGTTGTGTACACCTGGTGTTGCTTAGTATTTAAAAAGGTTCAAGGCACACCAAGTGGATCTATGAGGAACGCACCTCATTTCTCTAAAACTTAACGATTAAAAGTGTTTAAAGAGAGTTTATAGACACTATACAGTGGACTTAACAAAGGTAGAAGAATTTCAACATGAAGCAATTAAAAACTAACGACGATAGGTCTTCTAGCCTTAGAGTGGCTTGGTGCTCCTCACTGAGGCCTTTATGAGGGCTTGGGCTGTAACGCCTTGGTCTTCAGCACCTTGATGCCTTTTTAAACACCAGTCATACTGCAGTATTTTGCTGAAATTGTAAAAAATAAAATGAACAATTGGCAAGTCTTTTTCACATTTTTATATTTCTTTAACATGTTCCTGCTACTTGTGTTCTATAGAAATGCACAAGGAAAAAGCAAGCGGTTTACTTCCCTGGCCACAGCGGCTTACTGCATCTCCATCTCGCTTGGAGGATATTGGCGTCAGTTCTGAGGAATTTCAAGCTGACACTGTAAGCTATCAATGTTATGTATTCTTTTCTGTCCAAATTGTGCTCCGATTTCCCTTTATAATATTAAAGTTAAGGTTGACTAACTATGAGGATCCATCTATTACAGAGCACATGGCGCTTTAGAGTGATCGAGTATTGGAACCTAATGAAACCTATTTTACAAAAGAACACTTTGCGGAATGTAATGGATATGAACTCCAATCTTGGCGGATTTGCTGCTGCTTTGAATGATAAAGATGTTTGGGTGATGAATGTTACCCCTATCCGTTTTGCTTCGGAGCTGAAGATCATATATGATCGAGGCCTCATTGGAACTGTACATGACTGGTAAGAGAAGCTTTGTTCATGTATTGTTACTTGATCCTAATCCATTATTTGCACAACATGGATGCTATTTTTTACTTTCTTTTATTCTCTATGGTTGTTTTACTTCAATATGACACTTTTTACAGGAGTGATTGTGGGTTTATAAAATTATATAGGAGTAGTCAAGGGAATAAAACTAAAACATTTCTTATAATTTGGAACAGAATGTAAGATCATAGTCTATGTATGTGTATATTTTTATCTAAATTTAGTATGTGTATAGTTTTATCCATACACTTGTGGTGATATCAAATTTAGTTAAGCTGTGCATCACTGTTTGACAAAATGTTGAATCAGGGCTGAAGGTTTAAATTAATGAGTCTAAGCAGCTGTGAAAGCCTGAAAACAAATTAGTGCCTTTTTTTTTTAAAAAAAATAATGTATTTGCTCATAGCTAATAGGTGAACAAGATTTTTCATTTTTCACTTTTTGCTTCAAATAATAATTAGGCTCTGTTTGGTTCATCTGATTTTGTTGGAAACTATTTTTTGTGAACTTATTTTTGTTTAGATTTTTTTATTTTTGGAACTTATATTGTCTAAACTTATTTTATCTGAATTTTCTTAAAAAACTTATTTTAGCTGAAATTAAGACCCTTCATGAGATGCAATCTATATTATTTTGGTTTGTTCACATGTTTGTGTATGGATTTGCGACAGATTAAACATCCTGCTTTGCAATTCAACATTTGTCTTCCAAACCCCAACAAGTGCATTATTCTGTTGCATCTCTGTTCTCCTAGTTAATGTGTGTATGCTATAGGATCACACACTAGTGTTTGTTCTGTGAAAATTTGTTTTAGCTTTATTAGGGATGCTTAATTATTGATCAGACAGTTACAAAATTTCTCAAGCTGGTAGAACAATCCTATATTAGTCCACCTTAGCAACTAAAGCCAATCAACCAAATGCAATATATTCCACTTTCAAGCCAAACAAAACAATCTCTTGATAAATCATAGAGGAATGTCTTTTGGAACAAAGGTACTAATAGCAAAATGCCATAGGTAATCGGTTGGGATCTTATTAGCAAACCTGTGTGCCGTGCTAATAAAATTTATAAAGAATCATGACTGAGTCCTATGATCACTGGGTACAACTTGTGAGAAGAAAATATTTTAAAAAAATATCTCTATGATTACATCCAGCACCTGACCGGAACAGGAATGTATCGCGACCGGGATTCAAAATATTAGGGATTTGAGACCCGACTGGAAATTGTTCGGACTTGAAAATTCTATTCCGGAAATCAGGAAGCACCTATTTTCTTGGACCAAACCGGATTGGTCCGGATCTACTTTTGTACACCCTTACATGTGCTAGAGATAAGTACGAGTAGCAATAAGATAGCAAGCTAGAGAGATAGAGTAATGGCAGCCTAGGGAATGATAAATGTATTACTGAACAGAGTATCCAATAATACAATCCTTCTTTCGAGAGGAAGGAGCTCTCCCAAAACAAAACACTCAATTAATTTTCTGATGCATTCCCCTTACACCAATTATCAATTAATACCCCAAAATTAATTCCCAAATACAGACTTAACACACCTTAAGCATGCCAGCCTAGAAATAACAAACTTATCTAGTGATTACTATTTTACCCTTCTTTCCAAGCTGAATTTAATAACCTGACAACTCAGCATTCTTCCCTCTAATTCTTGGGCCTTCTAGCATAAGTAAAATGGATATCAGGAGGTTTAGGATGATTCCTTGTAATATCCCCCACCCAAAGTTTCACCTTGTCCTCAAGGTGGAAGCTAGAAAACCTGAGGTTAACTTCCTCAAAATGTTCCCAGGTTCAAACTCCTGCAATCCCTTCCAATGAATCAAGACCTCCATTGCAGCCTGTGAATTCCTCACACCCAACACTGCCTCCTGCTCTACTTCCAGCACCAAATCAGCAGACAACTGTGCAGGGAGGTTGGTTGGACGATGGCCAGCACCAATAGCTCTACTTCAGTTGAGAAATGTGGAAGACTGGGTGTATTTTGGACCCTGGTGGCAGCTGCAGTTTGTAAGCCACCTTGCCAATCCTCTGCACAATCTGATAAGGCCCATAGAAACGAGGAGCAAGCTTGGTGTTGGACCTTCTAACCAAGGACCTCTGTCTATATGGTTGCAGCTTTAGGTACACCAATTCACCAACCTGAAAATCACCCTCACGCCTTCCCTTATTCTCATATTGCTGCATATACACCTGTGCTTGCACCAAATGAAACTTTAAGTCATCTAAAATGGATCCCTTTCCAGCAGTTCTTCTACAGAGGACACGGCTGTAGTGTCAGCTGAAAATCGCAACAAGTGAGGAGGGTCCGTGGCATACAAGGCCTTAAAAGGGGTGTAATTAGTGGCGGTGTGAAAAGAAGTGTTGTACCAGTATTTAGCCCATGGAAGCCATCGAGCCCAAGTATGAGGTTTCCGTTCACAAAGCACTGCAAGTAAGACTCCACTCCCTTATTGACAACCTGTCTGGCCATCAGTTTGGGGATGATGTACTTCTCATCAACTGAGTACCCTGAAGTTTAAACAGTTCAGTCCAAAAAATGCTCAGAAAAACCTTGTCACGATCAGACATAATAGAGCTTGGTATCCCATGCAACTTTACCACCTCACTCACGAAACTTTGAGCCACGCTCAGGGTGATTAAGAGGGATGAATTGCTTTTACTTGGTGAGTCTGTCAACCACCACAAGTATGGTATCCCAACCCAAAGACTTGGGTAATCCTTCCACGAAGTTTATCAAAACGTCCTCCCACACTTGTTCCGGAATTGGTAAGGGTTGAAGAAGCCCCAAAGGAGACAAGGTTGAATTCTTATTTTGCTGGCAAACGACAATGCTGCACATACTTAGCTACGTCCTTACGCATCCCAAACCAAAACCACTCGCCAGCAGCCAGCCTGTGGTAGGTCTTAAGATCACCCGCATGGCCCCCAACCAGAGAGTCATGGTACTCTTTCAACAACTTGTTAGTCAGCTCACAATGCCTAGGAATCACAACCCGACCCTTGCACTTAAATACCCCATTCTCAAAAGTGAACCATTTGGGAGTGTTCTCTCCCTTCTGAAGCTGAGAAATCAAACGTTGCAGCACCCCATCCTTCTGTATGAAAGATTGCACATAGTCTCAACACAAGCCACCAGAAGTGACCATGGGAGAACACTCCACATCCGAGCTAAATTGTCGGGATGAGGCATGAGCAACCTTGTTGGCAGGCCCCGGTTTGTAATGTATCTCAAAAGCATACCCCAAAAGCTTGCTTATCCATTTTTGGTAAGCCTGACCCACTTCTCTCTGTTCCAGCAGGTACTTGAGACTCCTCTGATCAGTACACACAGTGAGATGGGCCCAACAAATAATGTCGCCACTTCTTTTCGGCAAACACAATAGTCATCAACTCTTTCTCATATATAGGCTTGCCACGGTTTCTCAGACCAATGATCTTGCTGAAGTAGGCTATCGGGTGGTCTGACTGCAACAAAACCGCACCCAAACCATGCCCTGAAGCATCGGTTTCTACCACAAAAGGAATGGAAAATTTTGGAGCAGCCAAGATCGGGGCACTCACCATAGCAGACTTGAGAGCTGTGAAAGCCGTGCTAGCAACCTCTGTCCATCCAAAATTGTCCTTGCGTAATTGATCAGTCAAGGGTTGTGCAATCATCGCATAGCCATGTATAAACTTGCGATAATAGCCTGTAAGACCAAGAAAGCCTCGGACCTTAGAAAAATCCATTTCCACCCCAGCTGCTGAAATAACGTGGCTCAAGTATGCCACCTTAGCCTTCCACTTCACATTTTTTGAAATTGGCATATAGCTGATAGTTTGCAACGGTCTACAGCACTAGTTTCAAGTGTTTGACATGAGACTCCACACAGGGGCTATAAACCAGAATATCCTCAAAGAAGACGAGAATAAATTTCCGCAAGAACGGCTTGAATATCTCATTAAGTAGCAGGGGCGTTGGTCACCCCAAAGGGCATTATGAGGAACTTGTAATGGCCCTCGCGAGTGCAAAAAGCCGTTTTATGGACATCTTCGGACGGACGCGAATCTGATCAGGTCAAGTTTTGTGAACACCATCAATCTACCCAATTCATCTAACAGTTCATCGAGGGACTAGAAATTTGTCCGGAATGGTTTCCTTGTTCAAAGCCCTATAGTCCACGTAGATTCGCCATGAACCATCTTTTTTTTTTTCACCAACAATACGGGGCTAGAGTAAGCGCTGGTTCACGTTTGAATGATCCCAGCACGAAGCATGTCAGAGACTAAATTCTCGATCTTATCTTTCTGTGATTGCGGGTACCGATATGGCCTAACACTGATTGGGTTAGTGCCATTGCGGAGCACCATTGAGTGCTCAATGAGGCGGTGTGGTGGCAGTCCCTCAGGCATGTTAAAAACATGGTGTTGAACTTCTGAATTAAGGGCGGGAAGACCACTGGAATATTGGTGCTTTCTTCTCGACTTCTCCAACATATTCAACTCAAGCAAGTACCCCTGACCTTCCTTATGCAAATTTTTAATCATGGCTTTCAGAGAAATTCATGTTCGTCCTAAGTGTGGATCACCCTTCATCACCACCCAACTAGATTTTCATAGTTTATGTCTTCCAATTGGGGGTGGTAGTGCCCAACTTCTCCAACCATCGAATACCAAGGATTAAATCCGAACTACCCAGAGGTAAAATTAGGAAATCCTCCATAATCGTCACACCTTGAAGGTCTAACACCCCTTTGCACATGCCCTCACCTTGCACCGCCTCACCGGTACCAAGTGTTACACTGAAACTCTTGGACTCGGTGGTTTGGATACCCAAATTCTGGCTGCTATAGTGGAAATGAAGCTATGAGTCGCCAGGATCTATCATCACCACCATAGATTTTCCATTAACAACTCCAGCCAATCGCATTGTGTTCGGGCTTGTCAGTCCCATGACCGGGAGCTTGCAGGTGTGGTTGAGGTAAAACTGTCACATGGGTTCGTCTCCACCATGGAAAAATCTCCGGCATCTATCTCCTCCTCCTCATCCACCGTGAGCAGCACACTTAACCGCGGTGTTGCAGCGATGGTTCATAGTCCACTTCTCATCGCAACGGAAGTACAATCCCTGCTCGCGCTTCTGTTGAAGCTCTTTTTCCGACAACGGCCTGATGAAGGTGTTAGTGATGGATCAGTTTGGGTTAAGGTGGTTGGGGTTTGTGTTTAGGGTTGTTGTGGCTTGGGTGCCGGTGTTTAGGGTAGTATTTGGGTTGGATCGGGGAAATGGATTTGGATTTCTCCAAGTGGTGGGTAGTGTGCCAGTGGGTTTGGGCTTTGGGCTTAATTTAAGTTTTTCTTCGACCTGCATCGAGAGCTCCATTGCATGGTCCAAAGAAACCGGATCCAAGAGCCTTACCTCGACCTGTATGTCCTCTCTAAACCCATTTAAATATTGCCCCTTCGAATATCTTCGGGCACTCCATCAATCGGAGCTAAAAGCTCAATAAATGGACGACGATAGTCCGCCACGGAGCCGGTTTGCTGGTGGGCGAGCCAGGTACCAGTCGCGGTGTTTCTGAAACTACGGAGAAGGAGTCACTTCAGCGCATCCCACGTCAGCAAGGGTTGATGCCTATGTTCTCATTGATACCACAGCAACGCATCACCATCTAAAGCCACCACGGCAGCCCCAGTTGGTCTTCTTCAGTAAGCCGGTAAAAGTGGAAGAACCTCTCAGCAGGAGGATCCACCCATCCGGATTAGTACCATCGAAAATAGGTAAATCAAGTTTCTTCAGCTCACCACCATGATAGCCACCGTTGCCGTAATCCCAGTGCGGCTGAGAAGAACAAAATTTCGAACGGATTCTCTCCTACCCAGCCGCGACTGGGAGTTGATGTCCGTTTTGAATTCCGCCATTGCAGTGGTGATCTTCTGAGCAACGCGCGAAGGCAACCCAGAAATCTGCTGCTCCAGCAAGTAGAGACGCTGACCATGATTCAGGCGAGCCATCTTCTTTCCCGGCTTGGAACGTCACTGCTCTGATACCAATTTGCTAGAGATTAGTATGAGTAGCAGTAAGATAGCAAGCTTGAGAGACAGAGTAATGGTAGCCAAGGGAATGATAAATGTGTTACTATCCAATAATACAATCCTTCTTTCGAAAGGAAGGAGCTCTCCCAAAACAAAACACTCAATTAATTTTCTGATGCATTCCCCTTACACCAATTATCAATTAATACCCCAAAATTAGTTCCCAAAAATAGACTTAACACACCTTAAGCATGCCAGCCTAGAAATAACAAACTCATAACAAACTTATCTAGAGATTACTATTTTACCCTTCTTCCCAAACGGAATTTAATAACCTGACAACTCAGCATTCTTCCCTCTAATTCTTTGGCCTTCTAGCATAAGTAAAACGGATATCAGGAGGTTTAGGCTGATTCCTTGCAACATGCTACTCCGTAATACTTCATGGCAATGTAATAATCTCATACAAATTTTATTATGGGAAGATAACTGGTTTCTTCCTCCCCCTTTTCAAATATGACAACTTGAACTGCTTTTAACCCATTAGTTCATGTAAGCAAGTTCATTTCCCAAGACATAAATAGGGATACTTATACCTCAAAAAGTTTGCTTTCCTCTCACATAATAGAATTAATCACCTCTATTCACATTTTTATCAAATGATTATTAGTATAAACCTTTTTGGGGTCTGACTCTTTGTGGTAAATTCTCAACTTAACCTGGAGCTAGGTAGATTTAAGGATTGGGACCAATCCCTCCCCTTGTGGAATATTTACAATAACGGATTTGCTTGAAAGGAGAGATTAAAATGAAGTCACGTTTCTTTTCTTTTTTTTTTTTTTTTTTTTTTTTTTTTTTTTTTTTTTTTGTTTCTTAGGATGTTTAGCAATGGAGCCTGAGATTAGCAAATTGTTGGTATTTTTAATCTTTATATATTGAATGACACTACATGTTTGCACTTGCTCGCGCGCATACACATATGTATGTATGTAGTGATTAGTGAGTTGGTATAATATGCTTTCTCTATTCACACCGTTGGATCTGCCCAATTTTCTGGCAACAATGGAAAAAAAAGCTATAAAATTGCATCTTCAAAACTGCACTTTCCTGATTGCCATTTGTTTTGCTTTTCTTATTCTATATATTAATGGAAAGCAAGTAGAGTTTGAGTCACATGTTCCATTGTAGGTGTGAAGCATTTTCTACATATCCACGCACCTATGATCTACTACATGCATGGATGTTGTTTTCAGAGATTTTAGAAAGGGGCTGCAGTGCTGAAGATCTGTTGATAGAAATGGATAGAATTTTGAGACCAGAGGGATTTGTCATCATCAGAGACCACCCTTCAGTCATAAATTATTTAAAGAAATATTTAATTGCCTTGCGTTGGGATGGATGGGTTGTGGAGGTGGAACCAAAGGTGGATATTTTGTCAAGAAATGATGAAAGAGTTCTAATAGCACGTAAGAAGCTATGGCGATATGGGGCAACTGTCAGCTGAATGTAGCTCTAAGAAGGTATGTACAAAACCTAAAAGCTCGACTATATCATGTTGTCACTTGAAGTCGCCCTAAATTTCACCCAAATCACATGAAGTCAATTTTACAATAGGGTGACGTGTATGTGTTTTGGGGTGACCGACTATGCCCGCATAAACACACCCATTCCATATAAGACCCACTGTTCTATATGTTACGTAGTTGTTGCTTTAAAATTTGCAGTTGTTGCATGTCAGATTTAAACGAACAATCTTACCTAAAATAGAAATACTACATATAATATTGAAAGCAGGTATCAGTCCCTAATGTAACTCCCTCAATGTAAAATAAAATGCTTAGTTCATACTTGAGCAAGGATGCTTCAGATGCAAATATTTGGTGGTGAGTTATGCCCATCTTGTTTTAGTTTGCTTCGTCAGAGCATTATGGGAGGGGAAAAGAACTAGCCTTGTGTGAATTCATCTAAACTAGATAGCCTTCACTTTGAGTATCTACCTACGGGTATGTTGATTGAAGACATTGTTTATATGTAGTATTTATGTAGATATTATGATTTTTTGTTTTTTCAGATTCTCCTCGCTTGAAGGTTTTGCTATTATTATGAAGCATCTATGGCATTGTCACAAGATTTAAATCGTGGTTACCAATTTGTGAAGTTACATTCTCATGTTCTGTGGCTGATGTGCTGCACCGATTGTATGAGATCTTCTAGGAAAATGCAATTAAAACAAACCGAAGGTTTGTATTTGTTGTTTGGAGTATTCTTTTATGCTTCTCCTTGGCCAAACTATATATGAAGGCAACATAATTCTTTGGACGATGTAGACTCCCTCTGTCCCAAATTTTGTACTCAATTGTGTCCAAAAGTAGTTTTTTTTTCATGTGGGGTTGATAGTGTAATTTTTATTTTTTGAACACAAGCTTAAAGTGTGTCAAAAAAAAAAAAAAAAAAAAAAAAAAAAAAAAAAAACCCACAAGCTTGACAGTGTAATTTATAGTGACCAAGTTTACTATGAACTTGGTATAGCCTTTGTTTGGTAAAGTGAAAAGCTCACCAAGAAAATAAATAACTAAATAACTGCTAAGTCCCCCGTCTAGGGTTAGTTGTCCCTCGACTAGGGTGAGTTAGTTTCTTGTGATTTTCGATCTAATTTTCACAAATCTTTACGAATTTTCCCCTAAATTTTCATTCTTCCCTTCACTTGACAACATGGCTGAGGATTTATTGAATGATTTCGAAAAAATCAAACTGACATAAGAGGAAACGAAGGTTATTGGTGCACGATTCGGAGATTTGGAGGACGAAGGAACGAAAAATCAGATTGCCTATCGTTGGTAGGGAAACTGCTGACATCCAAACCCTTCAATGTTGAAGCGATGAAACGCACGCTAATGTCAGTATGGAAGTTGCAGGACAATGTTGTGATCAAAATGGTGGAGATAAATCTTTTTGTCTTCCAATTCCTAAGCGAAGTGGATAAAGAGAAGGTGTTGGATGGATACCCGTGGTTTTTCGATGGTAAGCTACTTATTCTCAAGGAGGTCGATGGAGAGGAACAACCATCAAAAGTGATCTTCAAGTACGCGCCTATGTGGGTGAGACTTCTCGATGTGTCGTTCAGCAAGCGAAACAAGAAAAGCTTGATTGAAACTGGTGACTTCTTGGGCACTATTCTGGAGTTAGACGAATCAAAACCGCTGGGATGGGGTGAGTTCATGAGAATGAAAGTGATGATTGACATTGAGAAACCGCTTTGACGGGGTCTTTTCTTGGCAATTGGGGCTACAACATCGAAGTGGATTTCTTTGAAATATGAGAGGCCGGAGGATTTTTACTTTTTTTGTGGGAGGCTTGACCATACCGAGAGTGGTTGTGCTTTTAAGGATGATGCAACAGAAGCAAGTGAGGAAATAGTCTATCAATATGGTCCTTGGCTTCATGCTTCGCCAAGGAGAGCTCCTAAGAAATTTGAAGCAGAGATTGCGTAGGAGAGGAGATTGAAAGATGGGTTAGCTTCGATGAAGAAGGGACGAATTCTGAGTTACAATGATCCTGATACTCTGAAGCTTGGTCCTCCAGGGGTAGCATGCAAGCTTAACTTCCCACCTCCAAAGCCGAAAGAAGCTGCATTGATCAAAGTGGTTGATTCTCCAACTTCTAAATCTGTCTTAAGGCTGAAAAGTTTGATGGAGAAATAGGTTGATGATAAGAAGGAAGATTTAGTACCTGATCAATGTGAAAACTCATAAGATGTTCTTTATAGCCCGATTATAGAGGAGACCGTTACTAATATGGAGCATGATCTACCCGCCTCTACAACCCGCAAAGTTATTATCAATAGGAAAAGGGGAGCAATGATGGAGGGGGACAGAGGGCTGAGCCTTGAGGATGATACAAGAGAGGTGGCAGCAAGGAAGATACGTTTAGAGAAACCCTCTTGCAAGGAACTAAACCAGACATCAAAAATAGTCACCAAAAATCAAAAAACCACAAAACCTTTCTTTGCCGGAGACGGTAGCAATCAAGTAAGGGGTGTTGGATTGAACCAAACCCCGTGAAGAGCAATGAAATTTTTGTGTTGGAATTGCCGAGGGCGGGCAACTCTCGTGCAATTCGAGCACTCCGACATTGGAGTGGTAGTGTTACCCCAGATTTAATTTTTCTTTGAGAAACTATGATCAGTAAACAAAAATCAGAAAAAATAAAAATAAATTTGGCTTCCCTATGTCGATTGGTGTTGATAGTAGGGGGAAGTCGGGAGGTCTTTGTGTGTGCTGGAGGGAGGGGATTAATTTTGCTTTGGTCTCTTTTTCGGATCACCATATTTGTGATGATGTTACTGAGGTTGGGGGTCGGGTTTGGAGATTCATTGGGGTCTACGTGTGGGCTGACAGAGCACTTAAGAGTAATACTTGGGCACTTGTTCGTGAGCTCTATTTGAATTCCCCTCACCCCATGGTCTTTGGGGGAGATTTCAACAAAATCCATAGCTCCAATGAGAAGTCAGGGGGTATCTCTAGAGAGCAAAGAGCTATGGATGCCTTTAGGGAGGTTCTTGATGAATTTAATTTAAAGGATCTTGGCTATGAGGGCTCTTGGGTTACGTGGGAATGAGGTAACGATCCAAGTTGCATTGTTAGGGAGCGACTGGATAGATTTGTGGCTTATACTCGAAGGTGTGCCTGGTTTAATCGGGCCCATGTGTCCCACTTAACAAAATTCAAGTCAGACCATGTGGGTATTTTGCTTGATACCGAAGCAAAAGTTCGAAAATCAAAGAAGGCACAAAAGAAAAAATTCCGCTTCGAAATTGCTTGGCTGCTTGCTGATGGAGTTGAAGATGTCATTAGGAACGCTTGGGATGGTTCATGACACCTTAACTTGCCGAACAAGTTGCTGACTGTTTCACATGATCTGACATCTTGGAGCAAGGATGCTTTTGATAATCTGGGTGAGAAAATTGTCGAGACAGAAGAGGCCCTTAAGGAAGTACTGATTAATGCGTGCTCACACCCTGATTTTGCAGAATGTAGCAGGTTGGAGACAATTCTTGACGACCTTCATGAGAAGAATGAAGCGTGCTGGTATCTTCGTTCTAGAGTTTAAGAGATTAAAGATGGGGATCGAAACACAAAATATTTCCACCACAAAGCAGCATAGAGGAAAAGCAAAAATTATATCAGAGGTCTCGACAATGCTGATGGGGAATGGAGAACCGGGAAGAAAGATGTTGAAAAAATTATCCTAGACTTCTATGGTTCCTTGTTTGCTAGAGGAGATGTTGATGAGACTTTGATGGAGGAGGTACTTGAGAGCGTTCCGGCCATGGTGACTGAAGGTGTGAACATGTCTGTATGTCGCTCTTTCTCCAAAGATGAAATTTTTGCTGCTCTTTCCAGATAAGTCCATGTAAGGCCCTAGGGCCGGATGGACTACATGCTATTTTTTATCAAAAATATAGGCATATTGTTGGTGATGATGTTACTATTTTTGTCAATAATATTATTTTTGGTAGAATATCCCTTTGTGAGGTCAATCGCACTAATGTTGCTCTTATCCCGAAAGTTAAAGATCTAATGAGTATATCTCAATTCCGACCAATCTCTCTATGTAATGTGCTCTATAAATTAGTTTCAAAATATGTGGCTAATAGACTAAAGCCCTTACTTCATGACATGGTTACTGAAAATCAGAGTGCTTTTGTTCCTAAACGTCTAATTACAGATAGTGCTTTTGCTCTTGAGCTTTTCCATACTATGTATGAAGAAGAGATTAAAAGGTCGTCGGGGGTCGATTGCGATGAAGTTGGATATGAGCAAAGCCTATGATAGGGTTGAGTGGGAATTTTTGAGGAGGCTTCTGACTAAATTGGGATTTACCGGAGCTTGGGTTGATATTATAATGACTTTTGTGTCGACCGTGCAATATTCTTTCATCATTAATGGGGCTTCTGACTAAATTGGGATTTACCGGAGCTTGGGTTGATATTATAATGACTTTTGTGTCGACCGTGCAATATTCTTTCATCATCAATGGAGTTCCATCTGATTCTCTGACTCCATCAAGAGGACTCCGTTAGGGAGACCCTATTTCCCCTTGTCTTTTTATTCTAGTCGCTGATGTTTTGTCTAGAATGTTATAGTTGGCATCGGAGAGAAAATTGATCCATGGAGCTGGAGCTAGCATAAATGGCCCGGAGATCAGTCATTAGCTATTTGCAGATGATAGTCTTTTGTTTACTAGAGCTACTCGACAGGAATGTTCAGTCATTGTTGATATTCTCAACAAATACGAAGCAACTTCCAGGCAAAAAATTAATTTGGAGAAGTCGGAGGTATCTTTTAGTAGAGGAGTTCCTTTATCTTCTCGGATCACCTTTAGCTCTATTCTTGGTATGGAAATGGTTGAGAACCATATCAAATATTTTGGTTTGCCAACTGAAGTGGGAAGATCGAAGAAAGCGGTTTTTGCTTTTGTGAAAGATCGAATATGGAAGAAGGTTCAAGGTTGGAAGGAGAAACTTATGTCTAGAGCCGGAAAGGAAGTTCTTCTCAAATCCGTCATCCAAGCCATTCCTACATATCTAATGGGAGTATATAAATTTCCGGTTGGCTTGATTCAAGAAATTCATAGTATGATGGCTCGATTTTGGTGGGGGTCCAATGAGAAGGGTAGGAAAATTCATTGGAAGAGTTGGGAGTCTTTATGCTAACCTAAGTTCCTCGGGGGTATGGGATTTAGAGATTTGGGGATTTTTAATGAAGCTCTCCTTGGCAAGCAGCTTTGGAGACTTGCAACAAACGAGCAATCTCTTGTGGGCCGTGTTCTCAAAACCAAGTACTACCCGAGAACATCCATCTTTGATGCAGCTCTTGGCCCGATTTTTAGCTACTCATGGCAGAGTCTTTGGAGCTCTAAAGCCCTTTTGAAGGAAGGAATGCTTTAGAGGGTTAGTGATGGTCGCAAAATTAATATTTGGGCAGACCTGTGGCTCATTGATGATACAAGTCGCTTTGTTACTTCTGCCAACAGAGTTGATGTATGCACCACGGTTGATGAATTGAATGATTACGAGGGCTGCTGCTGGGATTTAACCAAGGTGGAGAGTCTCTTCAACAGACGTGACAGAACGACCATTTTACCTATCCCAATTAGTGAACGAAGGCCGACTGATATTCTCACCTGGGCATGGTCAAAGAGTGGGGGCTATGAAGTTAAATCAACCTATATCCTGGTTAAGTCACTGGCTCTTGATGTTTTTTAACAGTACTGGGTTGAAATTTGGAAAGGAAGACTACCCCGAAGGTTCGCCACTTATTACGGAAATGCTGCTCAAACTCTCTGCCTACTCGAAGCCTTTTGGTGCATCGACATCTCATTGAAGACTCTACCTGCCCCTGATGTGGTGTCGGGAGCAAAATAGCTACTCATGCTGTCATTATGTGTTCTAGTGCTCACCAATTGTGGCTGAAAAGTGGCTATAAGGAAGCACTTAATTTTGCTACCTCCTTTGTAGAAATTCTGCTTCGTTAGGCAAACAACCTTCAAGAAGACGTTTATCAGAGGTGCTTGTTTCTCATTTGGTTTATTTGGCTCCGTCGCAACAAATGGGTTTTTGCAAATGAGTGGGATGCGGAC